AATCAAGATTCTGTTACTGCGTTACCTACTTCTCTCCTCAAAGCTTTTCATAAACATATTTTAGTGAACTGTTTATCAGTAATATGAGAACGTGTGTCGCTGGGTCCAAAAGCCAACATGGCGATGTCCATAACACAGAACTTCAGGCTTCAGAATGGTATTCAACAAATCAATGGGTGACACTAACGATAAGTTCACACTTGACTTTCACCAAGACAACAGCTGTTCAAATCCTGTTTGAAACCAAAAGTCATCACCTTTTCCTAACCCTTTTTTAGGTTTTTCCTAACCAATCTCAGCAAGCTTTATTTTGAAAGTTAAACCAGACATTGCATATTTATTATTCCTAACTTAAAGTGGAGTGAGCACATGTTGAAAATCTGACAGGCCAAGGCGAGGCAAACCGTGACACTGCCCAGGTATATTATACACTTTAGTGTGATACCGGGTTGGACTGATCATTACATTATTATTACACACATGTAAATTATTGCAGAAATTGTAGTAATATAGTATTATACATTTTTGCATCATATTGAGTTTTTACTTTGAATGCATCGTTACTTGGTGATTAATTTTCGTTATATTACTATTTCTGTATGTTTTTACAGAGAAGGCACCATTCGATCATGACTGAAACAACCCTGTGTGTCCTTTATTTATTGTTGAACAGCTTTCAGTCAACAATTTGTCAGGGACTACCACTTGAGTCACTTTTTAATAATACATAGAATGCAGTAAACATGTACAAGGTACTAAGTATTATTGGATTCCCCAGACACATCTTTTGACCTTTGTCAAAATGTTTTTGTAGTATGTAACATATAATTTAAACATTAGACCAGAAAGATGACTGAGGTTGTCCAAGTTTGTGCTTAACTGTGAATGCTGCTGAAGGAAGGGATGGTGCTTAGTATCAGTAATCTAAAATAAGATAAGATGGACATATGTTATGTGCACTCTGTAGTGCACATTTACATTAATAAAGAAATAATGTGTGCCAAGTAACAGCTTAGTATAATGCACTACATAACTTGAGAGATATGTAAATACAGCCTATTATGTACATGATAAAAATGCAGTGTTTAGTTATTAGTTATATACTATTAGGCTTTAATTCAATATCATTTCTGTATTTGAGTTATTCAGCTAAATTTGTTAAAGCTATAGTAGGTAACCTTTGTAAAAAATTACTTTTTAGCATATTTGCTTTGATCAAAATTAATTTTGATAAAAGTTACCTACAGCAGCCTTAATTATTTGAGTATGCAGCGGATACTAATCCATAGCATTAATCAGCACTTACTAATTTCATCCAGTTAAGTCTGAAATACTTACAGTTAGTGTTAGTACTACACCTTTAGGTTGCCTAAATGTGGAGCCAGGATGTCCCATGCAGTTGTCTTTCTGCTCAATGTTAATAAAGTAACCACTGAATCCACTTGACAGTTCAAAACTCTGATTTGATAGTATTCACAGATTTTAACTTGGTTGATGCTGCTAAACTGACATGATTGTTTTGCCCCAAGGGTAAATTGAAAAATTCATAATCCGTCTTAAACTAATAGTCAGTTTCTATAAAAAAAAATATTGTCAAAGATCTTTTTTTGCAGACTACACGTTGAATAAGATGTCGTTATTTATTGGGATTGATTAATGTGTGAAGTGGCCTCTAGATTTGTCTTTACTCTGTGGTACAAACCAAGTGCTGTTCTGACCTCTGTTAGCACTGAGGTATAACAGAGAATAACCAAACTACTTCTGGACGACTCCTGTTGAGATGCATCCTTTCAGAATAATAGCTGTATTTCATTGGTGGGTTATGGTTAGTATTGTAAGCACTATAAGTGATTCTTGTTTGTGGATCAGATCATTGGCTGAATGCTGAGTGAGGAACAAAGGGACTGTTGGATGTCTAACTATAACGTTATGGGGAGGTTTTTGGGGGATGTTTTCATAGAGGGCTCTTTTCTATAAACTGTCAATGTTATTCAACCCCCTGAATGCTGCTGTTGTCTAAAAAACCTAACTCCAGTATGTTTCTTTTCTCTGTTTCTTACTTGAATTGCAAGTTTGCTTTTTTTATTTGCAATGGCCCTTTGGAACCATTTCTGTAATTGAGACACGCAGCAGTTTGGAAACCTTTCTTAGTTACTGAAAATGAAATTTTGTAGAGCTACAAGTTTTCCTGTGACAGTGATGCAACATTGATTCCTACATGGTTTCTGCATACTGTTTACTCCATGTGCTGAAGACAGTTTGTAATGAACAAAACAGTTGTTTCTCAGAGAACATTTTAATGCAGTTTCATATTTTAAAGATTTTTTTTCTCATACCTTTTCAGATATTATAGTAAAGGACTGCTTTGCTTGCTTCCAGATATACGTATATCCCTTACATCAGAGAGAGCATAGGCATGATTAGCTTTCATCAGTTATTGCATGACTACAGCCCACACAGACCACAGGCCTTTTCGCAGTAATAGTATACCAGGAGTTTCTTGTCTGACTTGACTTACTGTCCAAACATACAATTCTATTTTAAACGTTACAGCCAATCAGATACAATACGACCTCAATATAAGAAAATAATAGACAAGGTAGAGGCAAGTTGGGTTTCTTACGCCAAGTCTGTTATGTTCCAGCCTGGGAGAGCTGCTGACATTTACCCTGGCTTAAGATGTTCACTGTGGAAAGGGCTGCTGGTCTGGACTGGATGTAGTTTGTAGCAGCTTTAACAAGAGCTTTTAGTACTTTTTCCTTTGGATGTTTTTTAGCCAAAGTGAACGTCAATAATCAGCCTTTATTTGCATGTTGAAACTGTTCCTCTAAGACTACATTTAGACAGGGACAGGAAATTATCTCAACACTGTGGCACTGTGGTTATGTGTTCTCATGGCCACTGAAGTCATGGACTTCTGTCTGTCTGTTTAAGGTTGGACTGTTCCTGTTTGAATTAATGTTTGAGTGACACCAGTGTTTCTGACCTAATGTTATTCATCTGCTGTGGGGGATATTAACATCTTCGATAATATGTCATTATAACCATATTTAGCCATTGCTGTCAGCGAATGCTGATGAATTCATTACTGGAAATGAGTATGTTTCCCTATGCAAAAATATACCATTAATAAACAAGCTATACCACAACTCAGCCAAAAGATGTGTTTGTTCATTTCATCATCTGTTCTTATCATGATGACTGTTTAAACTTTAGAATGTTACGTAAGTGGAAAAAGGCAGTCCTAGAAGTTTGCTTTATGTGGGAGTTGGGGAGTTGAAGGACGTATCATAACATATATTTGGAGTGGCTGTGGCTCAGGATGTAGAGCCGATCATCCACTAATCAGAAGGTTGGCAGGTTTGATCCTCCCTGCCTTTAAGCAAGATACTGAACCCCAAATTGCTCCTGATGCTGTGCAGTGATGTGTGAATATGAATGAATGAAGGAGTTAGTTTCTGTTTTGCTGTGAATACGTGTGAATAGGTAAATGTGGCATGTAGTGTTAAAGCACCGTGAGTGGTCAGAAGACTAGAAAAGGCGCTATACAAGTACAGTCCATTTACAATTTACCATTTTACCACAAGATCCAAGATTTCTGACGGTCGTGATGGAGGCCAGGGTAACACCATCAAGAGTAACAATATCTTTAGATAATAAGTTTCAGAGGTGTTTGGGGCCAAGTACAAGAACTTCAGTTTTGTCTGAGAAAATCCAGTTATCCAGGTTTGTATGTCCTTAAGGCATGCTTGTAATTTAGCCAATTGATTAATTTCATCAGGATTGATCGATAGGTTACACTGGGTTAAGTTAATGGAGTGATTCCTAATAATGCTGCCTAAAGGATACATATATATGGTGAATGAAATTGTTCTAAGCACAGAACCTTGTGGAACTCTGTGACTAACTTTGGTGCATGGAGGATTCATCGTTAACATGTACAAACTGATAAAGCACTTATTAATGCCTTATTCTGCATGACTGTGTTCTACTATCCCATTGTCTAAGCCTCAATTACTGCTTATTGATAGTACGTAATAAGTTTGTTTACATGAATTATAACCTTTTCTTGCTGCTTTTTTTCAAATTATAATATGGGGGTCAGATTTAGGAAGCTCAGAATAGGTATTACAATACAAACACATTGACTTACAGTCATGGAGTCCAGTGGTTCCCAGTCCTTTTCCTTACATTTTCTTATACCCTGTAAACCAAGAAGGCCTCATGGCCATCAAACTTTTGCGACCCCCAGGTTGTGAACCAGTGTTGAGATCCCAGTCTCAAAAAACATATGCACCAATACCTCCTCATGCTTGTTGTCTTAAAAAATTTGACCAAATTGTCTACAATTTCTGTGGAGCTCTGGGTCGCTGGATTACACACATGGACAATATTATAGGTACAAATTCCTTCCAATCACGTTAAAAACTATATTTTGATAAAGTAGTTTTCTTTTTCCAGCCAAACTGCTGCTCCACATTCCAGTCCAGTAGGTGGCTGTAATGCACCTATAACCTGATACACCAA